GTGTGTGTGTGTGTGTGTGTGTGTGTGTGTGTGTGTGTGTGTGAGGCAGAGGTTGGTGATGGTTGTCGTAATACAAAAAGGTCAGTCTTAAAATTAAGGCCAGGGTGTCTTGTTCCACCAAATCACAGAATGATCTACAAACTACATTAAGCGGATCCTGGAAGCAGCCGTTGATCCAGGTCATGCATGAATTACACAGCAAACCAACACACAACCTCAGCACTACACAACGAGAGATTTGAAAACTGTGACAGAGTTTCTTCACAATCTTCACAAAATTCCTCTGTTCCATTGTATCACATCCCAACACCCCCAGTTACTTTACTGATTCTACAAATGTATCACCAGCGATGAATAAGCTGCCAGAAGAAAAGGTTTAATATCATCATTATTATTTTTATTTGCCACTCAGTGGAACGCCTAGTCCCCTCATGAAACAACATTTAAATTCTCTAGATCCTGATTTCCATCTGGATCTGCTCCAAAATGTACACATTCATCAAGACCGACCCCATAAATGTATCTGTATTTAAACAAAATAAAGATCCATAAATGATTCTGAGAAATCAACATAAATGTTGAAAAATCTGACAATGTAAGTAAAAAATCCTCAATCTGCCTCTTCATCTGGAGCCGCATCTATATATTTAATATAACCTTCCCTCGCCCATATCACATCCTTGCATCAGGGTCCATGGTAATCTGCCCAGTAAGTTTTGTGTAGTTCTGGCAACAAACAAACAAACCACAGACAGGACAGAGGTCATAATGATTGTCCCCCTAGACACTGTCAGAAAATATCTCTCTCCCGATGACAGCAGCAGTTCAGAAAACACTTATTGTTCTGACACGTTTGTCATGTAATTGGCAGGACTAGTTGGATTTGAGATTAAGATCATCGTAGAAAGCTGAGAAACACCATTGCAGTGTGTCAGCTGTCATTTATGTTCCAGCAGCTGCTGCTTATGCGTAAAACATTCTATGAAACAGTGCATTTTGTGCGTGGACACATGAGATGTTTCCCAAAAGAAAAAATGTCCGAAAAGTACAGTAAAAAGCCAGTTCCACTACTTTGAGCGATGCACTAAAAGGAGAGAGTTCTAGAGCTTTGAAGTCTGAATATTAACAGATTTCCTTTCGTACTTTATTGTCGTTTTCATCTGGAGAATCCACACACATGACTCAGATCAGCTCACTGTGCCATGCAGTCTAAAATCCAGAAGAATAGCAGTAGATCATGATGCACATTTGTCTTAATGCACGTTGTCCTCTTTAAGTGAGAGGTTGTGTCTCTTGTAGCCAAGTCATAACACAACTTTCTGCTCAACATCTTGTAATGACTTTCATACTTTCCTTTATTCTCACGTTCATCTTCAGTCAGAGGTAACAAATCCAGACAGATCTGGTTTGAGTCCATCGTTTCAATCCTGATGAAATTATAACAGTTTCATGTCCTCCCTGTCTCTGCAGGTAAAGACGGTTCAGGTCTGACAGACACCGAGTTGGCCCCAGACTCCGACCCACCTGGAATGGACACCAGCTACCTGACTTTGAAGGATCAAGGTGTCAAGGCAGCCTCTGACAGGCTGCCAGGCACTGACATAGCGGGCCCTATGGACAAAGCAGATGGCGGCGAAAGCAACAAAGGCAAGAAGAGACGTAACCGCACGACCTTCACAAGCTACCAGTTGGAGGAGCTGGAGAAGGTTTTCCAGAAGACGCACTATCCTGACGTGTACGCTCGGGAGCAGCTCGCACTGAGGACGGACCTGACCGAAGCTCGTGTGCAGGTAAGCAACAACAGCATATGAGGGAAATTTCATGTGCAGCTAAAGTGGTTTAAAAAAGAGCAAATTGCTCTAAGGCAAGAAAACAAAACATCAAACATATCAGATCTCTCATGACAGATGGAGGTTCATTTAAAAACGTACTATTTACAATAAAATTCTCAGCCTCATGAAACCATATGGCCGTCACATCAATAAGTAAAAGAAAAAAGTTATTCATCGCAGCAGCACAATGTTTAAACAACACAACCTCATGGATCCCTCAACATCTGCAGCTCTGCGGAGATAACGTCACTCACAGAACAACACAAGAGATTTATCTGGGAGTCGTGGGGAGAGAGTGGGGGAGTGGGAGCCAACAGAGGCCAGGGGGCCCCGGGGGGCTGAGGTTTCGGGCTGCAGCCTGGGCCTCATATGTGCAGTTGGAGGGGAGCAGGCTTTCATCACCATGTGACAAGACTTGTTCGACTCTATGTGTTTCCCTGGTATTGTATCAACGGCCTTTGCAGCTGAATTCAGTTCAGGTGGTGCTGGTCGAGCCCGAGGTGTACAGCACCTCTGCAGCTGAAACCCCTGTGTTGACCTCCCGGCACTGATTTGCATCCAAATCAGTCATGGCTGCTGCTGTAATGTATTCCAACTCTGGCAAACAGAGAACAAGACCTCCACCATTTCTGCGTTTTGTGTGGCGTGTACGTGTGTGCATACGCGTGCACCGAGGACGACTAAAGCCCTGGGATTTTCTGTGTTTTTCTTTCATTAACATCCTGTCCAGACAAGAATGTGTCCCTGCTGTGGTCTCCGGGGGGAAGGTGTGAAACATTTCCCATGGGCTTTTGAGCAAGTTGATATTACGAGGTCACGTCAGAATTTCAGGGCATATTCCAGTTTTTGCTAAAGTGAATGGAAACACGGCTGCATTGTTATATGTTTTGTGCGATGTGACGAGATAAGAAACTATTAAAAGTCACCTTCGAGACGATGAGCTGGAACAGTGGCCAGAGAAGTCTGCAGGGAAACACAGGAAGTCTCTGCAACCACAGGGTTATAACTCAAACCTCTGAAGGTATGCTGCTCCGCTCTGCTCGGCTGCTCGTACTATCACAGAACTGCCGGCCTCAGATGGATGTAGCTTTACAGCCCTCAACTCTCCCAGCGGCCCTCTCAAACACTCAAGTTGAAAAGATAAAAGACATGAGATGCCTTGTCAGTCAGAGAGCAGGGATCTGCACTCATTCACTCATTCACACGCAAACCGACTCACAGCTCATGAATTCTGCATCTGGACGGAGACAAAAGTCAATAAAAAAAACTCTACCGCTGCAAAAGTTTGCTTTAACTTTTGAAATCGACGAGCATTTACAAGCAAGAATGTAAAGAGAGTATAATCTGTGTGAATGTGATGTTACACCTCATTGTCTGATGGTTCTCACACGCACAGGAAAAAAATCTACTCTCAGTTAAAAAACCTGAGGGTCTCAGGGTTGTTTGCTTTTTTTATTCTCTGGGTTTCAAAGGGAGAAAGTTCAGATCTGAGTCATATGCGCAACAGATACATGTGGGGGTGAGGGGTCAGAGGTCACAGGGTTTCAAAAACATCACATCTCTCAGATTTGCCGTTGTGTTAGGCCAGAGAGCTCAGAGAGCCGAGATGGCATCTGACATGTGGAGTTCACCAGGCAAACACAGGTGTCAGCACGAGTTTATGGATGTAAACAGTTAACGGGAGATGAAATAACAGGAAACACTGATTTGTGCGTGAGATGGAGGAGACGATGGTTCCTGCAAGAGGCCGAGTCTTAATCAGAGAAATGCTAAAATAGTCAAGTCATTTCCACCATTCTACAAATAAACAGTTAATTGTTTTAGTAAGAGGAAGTGAATTCTCTGATTGATGAAAGACTGTTGATAAAGATGGAAGACGCACCTCCACTTCCTCCCGCCATCCAGAAATGAAACAAATTATCCTGGATACGGTGAGTCTGTGCAGACGTGCACTCGACCAATGACGAGTCAGACTCAGCTGTTCAATATGTCTCACCCCTTTTTTTATAGCATGAAATAACTAATTAAAACCAAACTTATCAGAAAAACGAGCACACTGACATATATCAGTGTGATAAGAACTCACTAAAATGATGAAAAGAAAAATTTGACTTTGTTTGGCCCATATCCCATCCACTAACACGGAGGAGGAGGGATTTATGACCTACACTGCAGAGAGCCATCAGGTGGTGATTGAGATGCTTTGGCTTTACTTTTGTGGAGCCATTAAATTCAGTCCATGTGAGAAACCATGAAACAATTTTAAAAAGGCAATAAAAAATATGCTTTGATATAATAATATCATAAATCAGGCAGCAAAAGCAATTTATATGTGAGTCTGAATTTAGAAGATGAACTGGTCAGATGTTTAACTGAGGAAACTATGTTCAGAAACAGTTTTGATAATCAATTGATCATCATTGGTTTCATCTTCATGATTGAAAGTCTGCTGTTTTCATTTGTCTTTTTTTTAATGATTTTTGATTGTTAGTTGAACTAAACAAACAACATGAGATGTCACCTCAGGGTCTGAGAAACTGTGACGTGACTTTCCATTATGTTCACACAGTTTACAGATGAAGCAGTGAAAGTATCTTCTATTTTATATGAATTTAAAATCTCGTAATGTTAAACAAAGTGAATTTTGAGTAATGCAAAAAAACAAACCTTGATGAGAACACAACCTCCTGAGCGGTGGTAACACATTTCTCAGTTACCCCCATAATCAGATCAATGGTTAAAGACATAAAGAGTTGAGACGACGTCCAGAATATTTTGACTGTTACAATATTTATAAAAATGAAAGTCATGTGATTATAATACTGCGTCTAAAACCTTCATATACCAACACAACAGGTGCAAAGTCAGATCTCACATTCTCTGATATATTTCTCTGTGAATAAACCTGCTCCTGGATTTATTTTCATTTGACACACGAGTTATGAAATCACGCTGTGGAGGACTTTAGGGAAAAAGGGAACAAACCTATTTTTAATGAACTACAACAGTGGGCAGAGGTGTTTCCATGATATTAACAGTACTTTGTGGGTGTTGGAAAAGCGAAGCCAGGCTCAGCCGTGGATTTCTTTTTTCCTTCAGTGTGGAAGCTGACATGAGTGACAGCGGAGGCGGGTTATCAATCCTCTGAGCCGCTCTCTCACTTCAAAGTGTTCGCAGCCCCATACAGCTCTCCTGCTGGGGCCAGTTTGGCATTTCTCTGCTCTGTCTCTCTGGGGCTGTAACATAAATAAAGCCTCATTGAAAGTCCACCAGCTACTTAAGCTGTCAAGGTCTTTACCAATTACTGTCAGGACGCAGTGTGTGCAACACAAAAATATGTTCTCCTGGTATAATGGCCAACAGACCTGGCAGAAAGCAGAGTGAGCAGATGAGAGCTGGTTGTGACACTGTATGTTGAGACGCAGCGGAGGAGAAGATGTCCTGCACAACGTCTACAGATTGTTTCCAAGTTGTACCAACAACAATTCACTACGTCAGAGGTTTTGTAATGATATGATACCAGCCATGTGAAGAGTGATGAGAAAGATTACTGTATCTTCTGTCTGGACGTTTGACCATCATGGAATTTGACATGTGACAAAGAATCATTGAGCCAGCTGCAGCGCACATTCACCTTAAAGTGCTATATTCTGTGATCTGTCAATCAACTAATCAATCAATCAATCAACCAACCATCCAACAAAGCAATCTATCTATCTATCTATCTATCTATCTATCTATCTATCTATCTATCTATCTATCTATCTATCTATCTATCGATATCTGTCTGTCTGTTACTTCCTTGATTTCTTTGAGAAGAATTCATGAATCTTGATGAAAACAACCTGACATGTTTATGATATTGGTATTTATGCGTGAGTGCAATTTGGTGCAGATCCAAATATATATCTGGATCTTTTTAAATGAAATGTAAATGTTGGTGGAGGAATGTGCTCTACTGAGTGACATTCTAGTTGTTGTTGACATGGCTTTCATAGTACAAGTCAGATTTACCTTTAGCCTCAGCGTACCCTCAAGTTCGGCCTAACATCTACTGGTAGTTGGTCACTTAAATTAAGCAGAAGACTTTTAAACGTACAAGGGATATTCACCAATTAGTCCTATATTTTATAATGTTTGCAGCATATGAAGGCAGTAAGTTTGTGATTTTGACTGATTTCTCTCAAGCTAAATCCTCAACAAATGTTTTCCTTATATCTTGAAAATTAAATGTTTGATATGTATGATATTAAAATAACTCAAATTATACTTTTACCATTTTCTGATGCATAATGTCAAACCTGTCAGTGTCCTGTCAACTCAGAGCAACAGAACCAAGACGATTCTGGTAAATAACATCTCATGTTTGAAAATGAAACACATTCCCTGGTTGGTGGTGATGGTGTTGACAGGAAACCTAATGGTGATGTGACAGTGGGAGGTTGCTCTATAACACAGTCTGGAAGCAGTTTTTAAACATATCAAGTTAATGTGGAAACCTGTTTTATCCCACATCTCTAGAATCACTGGACATAAAGTTTTGGGTTCATGAATTCTGAGCAAGGCAGCTCAGCGGAAGATGTACGAAAACATCAAGGAAAGAAGGATTATGTCCTCCGCTCTGTGTGCTTCTTTAATTTAGACGGAGACAGCAACTCAAAGCCGGAGCTTTAGGCCTCAGGAAATTAAAAAGGAAAATGCAAACAAACCCCAGTTATAATCTCGTCTCATGTTTCAATCTCCCATATTGCCTCCGCAGATCTATAGTGATGTGTGAGCAAAGAGCTGATACGTGGATAGAGATAAATCAAATCAGAGAATGTCATCGTTGTCCGGTAGTTATGATCAAGAGTTGGATAACAAACCTTTAAGATTTGGGTTTAAACTAAGTCATGGCACATTAAGTCTAGAGCCTATTAAATCCCATTAATCTAAAATGTATTTAGATTAATTTTCTTTTTATTTAAATCTTTAGAATTGTTTTCACTAAACAACTGCATCACATTTAGATCAATAATTATTACAGAACACTGTGCACAGACCTTTTACAATATCTTTTTTTTAAATTACGTATTTCACCTAAACTGCATATCTTAAATCACCTTTGAGTTGTGTTGACATTGTTGATGTGCTGCTGGTGGTTTTTAATATTCGCTCTCTCAGCCTTTTGGAAATACCACAATGGGATCATTTTTCCATTTTAAAGGGAAACTTAGATTTGTATCTGTTCAGAAGTATTTCCTGTTAAAAGTCAAGATGTGATGTCTCCATTTTCTGAATTCCGATTTCTTCATCTCACCCTCGAACGAGACTACTGTGCACGATGAAAGTGCAGACCTGTTGTTTTCTCAGATAAACTGGCTGTTGTGTAACGTTCGGACATTGTCACTCTGCAGGTTTGGTTCCAAAACCGAAGAGCAAAGTGGAGGAAGAGGGAGCGTTTTGGTCAGATGCAGCAGGTCCGAACACACTTCTCAACAGCTTATGAACTGCCGCTGCTGACGCGTCCGGAGAACTACGCACAGGTACACAATCAGTACTCCAGTACAAGTACATGTTTAGGCCATAAAGTGTTTTGATTCTGGCCATTTGCCCTTTTATAGTCTTATGATCAATAATTTCACATGATGTCTTTTTAAGAATAAAAGACAATTTACGGCCGTCTATCTAAAAGAAGATTCAAGAATCTTATGGTTGATTTTTCTCGTGTATTGAAACCAAAGGGAAATGATGATGGCCTGAAATGCAGGAAATCAGTCTTAAAATCTAAGAATGGCTGAAACAACCAGTACAGTCTTTTAATTTCTGCCTGGATGCTTAGAATAGTGTGTCTGATAAGAAAGAGAGGCAGTGTGGTTAATGGAGCAGCTCTATCACTCTTTAACAATATCCATTTCCTGTCAATATTCCAGATCCAGAACCCGTCTTGGATCGGCGGTGGCAGTGCAGCGTCTCCTGTGCCGGGCTGCGTTGTGCCCTGCGACACTGTGACCACCTGCATGACCCCTCACCCCCACTCTGCCAGCGGCATGTCTGATTTTCTGGGCATGCCGAGCCCTGGAGGTCACGTAGGGCAGGCTCACATGGGCAGCCTGTTCGGAGGGTCTCCTGGCATGGCCGCGGGCATCAACGCATACGATCTGAACATGGACCCGGACCGCAAGTCCTCCAGTATTGCCGCTTTGCGCATGAAGGCCAAAGAGCACAGTGCGGCCATATCTTGGGCCACATGATGTGTTGGTATTTGCTGGACCCCGGAAACATCTCAACAAACCCAGCTTGACGTGAGGGGCACGAAAACAGAAAATTCGAAAGGCAACAGTTTCTACCTTCATGTGTTGCAAGAAAATAATTATGCAAATACAAGGATGGATGAAGAATACTCCAAGAGACAAGAACAAGAGATGTGTTAAGATTAGTGTCATGGCACTACCACATTTCTCTTTGTGAAAAGCCTGGAGGAAGGTGGTGCTGTACTGTATAACAGATGTTGCAGTGTTTTATTGATTATAAGCGAAGAAGAGAAAGGTTTAGAAAAAGTTTTTAAACAAATCCATGCACTTATTTGCTAAAATACAGGAAATTCTGTTTTTCATTCATTGTCAGTGTAGTTCTTTGTTCAGGTGCTGTTTTATTCTTACCGTGTTATTTAAGTTTTGAGTGTTTTTCCCTCCTGTCGTTTTGTTGCTTCGTTTGATTTGACATAAAGTTCAGCATCCATCCTGAAATTCAAATTTAGTTTGCCATGTATGTATTGTTATAAAAGACAATCTTCACGCTGGTGCTGAGGAAAAGCTACAGAAAACTGTTTATATCCAGAATATCTGTCACATCTCAAAACTCTGAAACAACCCCCTCTGGGTGCATGTTTCACTAACTAAAGAACTTGTACTAAGTGTTTCTCCCTTCTATGGCCTTTAGAAGTCAGTTTGTTTTAGTGTGGTCAGACTGAGAGATCCACCTGCCGCACTGACTCGGCCAGAGAGACGGAGGAAGGTGTGGAGGAGGAAGTGTGAGAGGGGCACAGCGGGCCTGCTGCTCTCAGGGCTGAAGAGCCTGGGAGCGCCAGCCTCCAAAACAGAGCCAGCTCTGTTTTCAGCGAGACAAGAATCCGAAGTGGACGTGACTGTGTGCGTTTCCAGTCTCAGGAGTTTCAGAGAGCGAAGTGCCTACCAGTCAGTCAGACAGACTGCCAGAAATAACAGCCGAACCAGCAGCCGCCGCCTTTGAAACAGAGGCGGGTGGTGGAGATTATGCAGTGTGTTGACACTTCGCAGCACTGAAAGGAAGTCAGTGTTCCGCAGCCTTTAACTGGACTTTCACTCAACTGTGTCCGGCTGTCAAGGCCGACAGGTAAACGCTCATGGCAGCACCGGCAAATGTGTCGCATGTCTTTCTCTTTTTCTCTTTCATGATTTGCGTCAGGGAGGAGGCCCCCGACCAGAGAGTAACACCTATCATCTCCAGTGAGTTTTAATTGCATCTCAGATGTGAAACAGTGATAATATCATCTCCACTGAATTCCTAAAGTCATATTTTACAACTGCAAAACTGCTCCTGTTCACCACATTATACTGACATATCTGGAGGATTTGGAATTCTGGTGTTGAGTCAGTGTGAGAGAGGCAACAGGAAGAGGCGAGGGGATTTCTACAGGAATGATGTTACAGCTGAGGAACTAGAAAGCCCTGATTATAAACCAGGCACAGTGGGCAGCTGACCTTTGACCCCAAACTCCCAGACTCACTGCACATCAGTTGTTTTTTGTATTACTTGCAAATTTGAGGTTCAAAATCAGTTATAAATCCAGTAAAGATGCACCGGTTAGTTTCTAACGCTCTGGTTTCAGCCACTTGTAACTCGTGGACGGCAAATTTTAACCTCAAACAAGTTAATCCATGTTTAAAAAAGACAATTAAGTAGAGAGGCAGAGGATATTGGTATGATAACAGTTATCATGCATTATATTTCAACAGGACCACTGGCTTGTCAGGGTGAAGCTCTGCAAGGGTCTCTGTGTCAAAGATGGTGGCAAGGTAGAGGTTAAATGGAGCCAGAGCTGAGCGTCATCTCTCTGAGAGCAAAACACATCCTCATATGATTTAAATATTCAAACAGCAAAGCTTGTTTTTCGCTGGTAACACCCTCCTCCGGTGACAGAAATAGCAGATGAGGTTAACATGACGTTATGCAGGTTCTTCCTCTGTATGCAAGGCCTGATTGAGGCTTTAAGCATAACAAAGGTCTTCATGGTTTCGAAAAGTGAACCTGATACCCTGTAGCACACCTTCAGGCACAGCAACCATTGCTAATTCGCTAAACTGAACCACATTCACGGTTCTTGTGTAGCAGATACAAGAAGCGGAGGTTGGGGGCTAGAACCTGACAGCAGAGCAGATCACCCCGGAGTCGCCCAAATCACATCCAGTTTCGCTCTCCGCTCTAAATCCGAGGCATATGCATTAATCCGGAGTAAAGAGCACATATCTCAGAACTGAGAGGGTCTCCTTGCGAATGTGGATGCGGGGGCCCCCTTTGCTCTGTCTGAGGGGTTGGACGGAGGGCGAGTCGTGAGGGCGTCTGCTGTGTTCCGGTGTTCTGAGAAAAGGACAGTGCACACAGCTGCGCTCAAGGGGTAAATGCAAAACAAACATGCCTCACACATGCTTCCCCCTCAGCTGTCATGGCTCTGCTTTCAAAGTTTCACCCCTCCACCTCCCCATCACCCACCTCAACACACACACACACACACACATTGCACTGTCTCTCCTTTTGCTCACTTCCACCTCGTCCAAGGGCCCAAAGCTGCAGCCCCCCATCACCGGGTCCGAGGTACAGCCAACCCAGGAAGGCTTTTTAATTAACACAGCCATGTGGAGGATGTGCACTGCAGTATTGTGTGTCAGGACAGACACGGCCGTCTGTCTTCTGCTCGGTTTCATGTTGACTGCGTGGTAGCTCAGGTTTTACACAACAGACACTCACCGTTTTCACTCTTTTCTGTGTATTTCAGTAGTTTTTTATTCTTAATCTCCAGTCATGTCAATCCGCCTACAAGACCCTTAACACAAAATAATCTTTACACAAAAGGTCTCCTCTTCCTGAATAACATCCTTCTCTGTGCCACTTTTCTCATTTTCTAATACTACTGAAGTCAGACAATCAGTACAGGAGTAAATAGATAAATATGATGTGTGCCGTTGTGTGCATTTCTGTGCATGCTAAATGAAGTGTTGGATATATTACTAATTAGATGTTGTTTTATTTTGTGAGACAATTTATCAAGCATTCAAGCGCTATCACTTTGTTTTTGTTAATTTGGTGGTACATGGTCAAGTTTTGTTTTCAAAAAGTTATGTTTGAACATTGTTTTTCTCGTGACATGTAATTCTTATGAGTTTCAAGTTTTTATAAGTGTCTGTAGCTTCAAGCTGACTTTTAAAACGAGTGTATGAATTTACTCATGCTTTGTGTTTCATTTTGAGTGTGATTAAAGTACAATAAGTTATTGCACTTCTATTCAGAATCATTATTTTTCATGTGATCTGATATAATAAGGAAAGTAGAACAAACTGATTGATGTTAAAGCAGCAGAAGACACAGCAGAGTCTTGCAGGGTAATTGTGACGGTCGGGGCCTCCAGCTCTTCAACAGACCAACTGTTAACACAAGGTACTAAAGAAAATCAAGAGTATTGACCTATCAGCATTTAGAGCTCACTCAAGTCGTCTCCACTTTCAAAAATGCATTTCAAACCACCATCTTAACTCACTGCTCAGCCACAACTTGTGAAAAGTCTTGTCCGCTGGTATTAGAAAAACACACTGAATTTGCAGCGCTCCACCCTGCCAAAATATTGTGTCATCCCTGCAGTCACATTGTGAAATCCCCGTGCATTTCAGCCCCTTTGAAGGGACACGAGTGCTGAAATGAGATCTCAGAACCCGCAAGAGTATCACACTAATTGAAGCTGACAAAAATACGAACTGCGCCCTTTTGAACTGCTGACATTGAACAGGGAGGATTAGGACGCGTATATTAACAACAGGTGACGGCTGGAGGGAACAGTGGATCGGCCGTGTCACGGAGGGTCGGGAATCTGGATGCTCACAGATTGGGAGTAAAGAGCGAAATGAAAAAGGGAAAAAAAAAACATCCGACTTCACCTCCTCCCCAACATTAATTACACAAATTTGAAAAAAAAGTTAGACATAGAGTGGTCTTTATTTATCAAAGTTATATATACACTCAGATACACAAACTCAGTCAAAAAAATTTAAAACAATTTCGCTGACCTCATGAAAATAATAAAAAAGGCAAATAAAAGGCTGTGTTAACATTTTAAGAGACTTAAATGTTACAATGTTACAACCTGAATACTGGAGCTGGGACAACTAGAGATGAAAACATCAAAAATATAAAGACGCACAACAGGTAAAATATTAATTAAAAAAAGACCAATAAAAACCAAAGCACTGCATCAACAGTGTATACATCTGGTTTGGGACGTGGATTTGGGGAGTCTATTATTCACATTACAGTAAATCGTCAAATGAACGGCAGACAATGAACTACTACTCTTGTGTTGTACTCATACACATAACACAACTCATGAAATGACTTAGTGGATGCTTCGGTTCACTCCACTGCGTTTCTGTTATATATATATATATATGTATAAATATGAGGAAAGGTTTGCTCAGGCAGTATAAAATAATTCAAGATGATCCAGCTCAGCATATTTTTTTTAAATTAGCAGTTACTCTAAGAAAACTCCAAGAGATTCATGGTGCCAACTTTGTCAGTCCAATCTTATTGTGTAAACAGAAACAATAATTGTACATCATCCATTAGCCACCATGCTGTGTTAGCACATTTACAAGACTATTAATTAAAGCCAACATATAGATATGTGATTGAATCATTTACAATATACAATGTATATTAAAGATTTGTTGGTTTTTCTTTTTATACAGTAGAGCTAAAAAAACTGGTCCTTGTAAATGTTTGAGAAGCAAAAAGAAGCAAAACCATCTATATATATTACTAGTAGCAGTTTCTGTAACATGAAATGTAGTGCTGTTGTGAAATGTTACAAATATCTTACTCTAAATGTCCATAGACAAATAACTCATCACACTCCTCATCAAACCCAGATTTTAGTGTCCTCTGTCATTAAAGATATTCAATTTATGTCCTTCACAGTTCTGCATTTTAAGTTTCATGTAATTAAAGTCACTTCAACTGAGAGGTGACAAGAACACGCACCGCTTCACTCTGAGTATTGATGTCTTGATATTAACAGATGACGATGATCTTGAAGAGTTGAGGCAGTGACCAGGTCAAAACATCTGTTGGTGGCTAGTCAGAGGCTGCCGATGTTGGGGAAGCTCTTGAGCTTCTCTGGGAAGTCGTCTTTGTAGAGCACTGGGTCTGCGCGGTGTTCCACCACCTTCAGAGGCATTGTTCCAAACACTGATGCAAACTTGTTGATGCACTCGGATCTAAGGATAAAAAAAACATAGTTATTTGAATAGTGAGATAAAAACATGTATTTATTATGCAGCTTCTGATCAAAAATAATTTTAGATGATGTACATGGATTAAGTCTGTAGCTTTTCATTATTAAGGAATCCTCCCGAACATCCTTTGATTTCTATATTGTATTTATTAATGGCAAGTAGAAGCTCCATCCACTCACTGATCTTATTTATTTTTTCACAAATCTCACAAAGATTTGCCTTTGTACAAAACATGTAGGATCTTTATTAAATCACTGCATCTAAGAATCTTTCAATCAAATTTGACTGATAGAAGGTTTTTAAAAAGAACAAATTGCTTTAACTGGATTTCACACATATTTTGTGTCACTGGATTGTTATTAACTCATTCTGCACTGGAGTCTCACTGAGTACATAAAAGAAAATAACCTTTAAATAACAGTGAGACACTGATTTTACTGTGATTTTTTAATAATTAATTTAAATGTGACTTTAATCTGCTTTTTAATATTAAACACATACAATTGAATTATTTATAGAAAATAATTCACAAAAACAATGATGTATAAAAATACTTAAAACTTAAAGTCCGAATACACTCATTGACGTATTGCATTTCCCAACCCCTCACTCAAACCTTAACTATCACATATCACAAATAAATGCCTCACCATGAACCAAGTCACAATTTTCAGAAAGAAGTTGCTACGAATGTGGGCCTCCATTTAGTCCTCATGGATTTTTCTAAAAGAAAAAGTGAGCACTATACCTCTCCACCATGTGTGTCTGATCCAGGGACAGTCCATCAATGGCAGTGCACTCAGGACACTTGAACTTTTTCCTGGGTGTCACCTGAACAGGAGCAGAACAAGGTCACTCATTTAAACTGTTTGTGAAAGTTCAGCAGCCCAGACAGAAGCAAATGAAACATCCAATCTGGTTAAATAAGTCTGTGATGTCTTACAAGAACTTTTGTCAAGCATCATGCAGTGAAAAATGTCTCAATTTTCCTCAGTGAAGTTGGAGTAAAATTGTATATGGCTAAAGGTGAAGAGAAATACATAATATATGACTCTCCTCTGTCTTGCCTCCATCACATGTGCAACCTGACACATTCCTGCACCCAAACAATCTGGACCTGTGAATGTATGTCTGTGTGGAGGAGAAAATAGAGTGAGGGACACAGAGAGGAGGAGGAGGAGGACAGATGGATTCGGGAGGGTATGTTTTCTGAAGGAACCTGTTTGAGATATGGAGGGAGGTGGGAGCACGGGTGCAGGCGGTGATTTTGATGGCAGGGTGTGCATGAGCCCCAGTGAGCTTAGGAAAACACGCTCAGAGGGGGAGTGCCCGTGAGTGACACCAAGATAAGGGAGGTTAAAGCCGGGCTTTAGCTCAGGCCCCTGCACCTGGGTACACTGATGGGGAGGGGGAGAGGCAGTGAAGTCGAAGGGTGCGAGCTGATCAGACCCAGAGATGGTGGTCCGCTGTGTCAGCCTCCCCCCTGCAAGCATGAAGCACACAGGCCGGTCAGAGCTATGAATGTACCTTTATGGGGGCTTTGCCTGTGATGTTAGCCACCAGGAAGTTCATGGCAATATCTTCACAGTTCATGTGAGCGTCCACCCAGTTCTTGATGTCTCCTGGCATCTTGTATGTGTACAAATAGTTGAAGTACTGAAATGGAAGCAGATTAAAAACAAGAGATGATTATAAGAGGTCATATAAATATATCCTGCAGGCTTGTCATGTACAATGATGCAGACTCTGTTTGTTGACCCTAGAGTCTGTAGGAGGAACCACTGCACAAGAGTTTACTTTGAACTTAAATGAGTGTGTGAGCTTTTAAGTAGAAGTCAGATAACCTTGCTCTTCCTATGACACAGGGCTCGTCCATCACTTGAATCTTCGTGCTCGCTATCCTACGTTTACCCCAAAAGGTCTCTAGGAAATTCTCTAATCCTTTTTACAAGTGATTCTGTGCAAACTATTACTAATCCATAGATCTAACATCCATGAGGATATAAAGGAAACGTGTGTCAGCGAGGTAAAGCTGGAGCAGCCAAAGTTACTTTAGTTTCAGTCAGGAATTCCAAAGTTACCTTGTGATAGAAGGCAGCACCAGTTAGAACCATGGAAACCTCATTGGTCCACTCCGACTCGTACTTCCACTTCCCCATTTCATGGTCCCAGAGGTGCAGCCGGCCTGGGTAACCCACCAGCCTGTCGGGGAACTCCCTCCACACCTGGGAACAGACGAGAAGATAGACTGTCAGACATTTTCAGATGAAAACTGATGGTGAGAACTGATGTTTTACATCAAAAGACATTTAGAAGTGAACCAAAAATTGTAACTTATATTTCACAATATTTCTTGAGTCGGAGACAAAAATCACAACTGAGACTCAAAAACCTTTGGGGGGATAAAAGTAGCTTTTATGATTAGCTGAATTTCTGAGGCTTGACACCAGCCGCTAGTCTGACCCTTCTACTGTCATCTAGTGAGGCAGACAGTCTCTCTATCCTGCCTGTAATTCCATGTAATTATCCTTAAACTGAGCACAATTTTATTAAATGGCTTCTAAATGGATTCAGGTGAGTGTGCTGGACTAAGTGGGTCCAGGCAGGTATGTGGGCATGGAAAGCATCAGCTCTCGACCTGTCATCATTCTTCACACATCAAACACACACCCATCCGGGAGGCAGTCAAATCTCAAACTATCGGAGAGTGTGACCATAATCTCTCTGAATGACTTTAAACTCTGGGATCAACTTGAAATAGTTGCCTGCGATACCTGCCAAAGATGAGGGACGTAAGGTAATGGTTAAGGGTTTGGACGGGTCTTTTTATCACCTCGTAGCCAAACTGCAGCTCATCAGATGTCAGCATGATGATGTCATCATCGATAGCCAGCACAGCTTCCGTCTCGATCTCGTCGTAGGGGAAGAAGCGGTTACTCAGCTTGTTCTCTTTGGTTCGCACGACTTTGAGAGGAACACCGATCTTTGGCCAAAGAGACTCTGTCAGGAGAAAATACTGGAATCACATTTCTAGTTTTATGCATAAAGACACAGAGCTGAAATAATCACCTTGATTAATTAGTTAATATTGAGCAAAGTGTTGAACATTGAGGAGAACGTAATTTTTTTCTCATGCACGACAAAGCATGAGAAGGGAGGAAATTATTAACTTTGACAGCTGATGTGGCGGGATTTCTCTGGCTGCTGCCAAGAGCAAGCAAGCGAAAGGAACATAAAGACACTGCACAGAAGTCTATATTGAAGCAAAGGTGCAAAACACCAAGTTAGAGATCTTATATGTTATAACGGGAGAGATTTTTTTTGCTTCATTATGAAACTGACTATCATTACATGAACAGCAACATGATGATATTAACCTGCTGAAGAAAACTGAGTGAAGAAACAGTTAACAATATTATTTATAAACAATAAACTTTTTCTGTTTACCTGAACCTGAATAAAGTCATACATATAAGCTATAATTGAATTTTGAATAATAATAATAATAATAATACCTTTTATTGATACAATACTTTAGAATAAAACAGAGGAAGGAAAGTAAAGCGAATAACTCAAAATATAAAACACATCTTTATCACAGATTCAAATGTAAAATACACAGTGCATCTTAATCGCATTGTAACCTCCTATTGGAGTTATTGCAGCATTTTGCAATATCGACATGTAAACCAGTTACCAACACCTTGATGTCATAATAAGACTATGCTCTACAAAATATATACAGAATAATGAATATAATATTCTATTCTGTAATCAAAATAATTTATTATTCAGAATAAGGGAAATAGTCAGAATATTGCTGTCAATGTAAATGTAGGTAGTGTGACAGGACAAATCAGATTATTAGATCAAGTAGACTGGCCCGGAACAGTCTTGGTTATTAATTGGAAACACTAGACATCAACTTGTCTCTGGGTATTTCTTGGGTAATTTTCTGACATTTCATTAGCCAATCAGTCATGAAATTGATCGCGAATATCTACAAATAAATAAATAAAAAATAATAGCAGCAGTTCCAGCCCTTTACACATACATACAGTATATATAGAGTAAGACACTGTAATTGTTCATTTTTAGGGATTGAAGAAAATTATAAATGTGGCCACTCTCAGTGTCTGAAGATGGGCGAGGAATTATGATCTCATTTACCACTGACAGAGATATTTGAAGTGTGTCCTGGCAGTGCTCTGGGAGTTTAACTTCACTCACTGACTTGTATCGCTATGTTAACCTCAAGCACGTGCAAATCTAACCACACTACAATTCGTCATGAAGCAGATCAACAAAGTGTTTTTTCAGGGGAGCGTTTCAAAAGATCTTGGGCAGGATCCATGGCACGGACTATGGCACAGACGGATCACACAGAATGTGTCCGACTCATTAACGGGGTAACTGGGGCCTGGCAGCCTATGAGAAGAGCTCCAGGTCCTCCTAACCACGTCTGAAGTCTCCTGTCAAAAGCTATTGTCAAGAAAACTGCTATGTTAAAAACCAAGAGTTTCTTCTTTCACTTAGTCCATGTTGCTGTCAACCCTTCTTTTATTTCCAGGGCTGGAAAGAGACAGTAGGAGTGAAACGATTATATGTCATTATCTGAATTTTAAAACCGTAGCCCCACCATGACATGAGTCAAAATGCACACACTTGCTAATTCCTCTGTGACTTCTTAACCTGTATTCAAGAATATTATATTTTCTGAAGAATAAGCTGTGGCCTTTACGCAAGTCTTCTGCATTTATTGCAGCTGTGTGGCAGTTTATCTCAGCTGCTGCATAGGTATAAGAGATAAAAACAGGTAAATTTGATAAACGTGATGTAATTTAAATCTGTAACAAAACATGGTGTTCTGACAAAAAGAAAAAGGTCCAAATCTTCTAAAAAACAAACACTGAGCCTGTGAACACATCAGATCAAGGCTTAGTGCAAGTGGGGAAGAAACCTGCCTTCACATTGGACTAACAAACGTCAATGGCCACTTGTTAATTCTAATGGGTCACAAAACTTAAGCCAGGCGCCACCGATGCCTCTAATAACTAGGCAACTCAAAGCTGTAAGGGGGCACTTCAAAGTCATCTCACTACTTCATGACATGAGTCAACTCTTACAGCAGCAGGGTCACTTTAATTGTCTGAGTTAAACTATAAGGCACGATAAGCTGTTGTATACTTAACTGCCATATTAGGGCTAATATTTACAGTGGAAGGTGCAATAAATAACAACTTCTATGAGTTTACAATGACACATCTCTGATTGGCTACAACCAAAGAAGTCTAAACCACAAACTAGCAGTAATGAAAGGAAAAACAGGGATAGATGGGTTAACTATACAAATACAGGTTACACAGGACTTTGCATTCTAAAGTGGGCAAGATACTGAACCCCATTTGTAGTTCTACTATCATGCATCAGAGGATTCACATTTGGGTTGACACCACCACCACGTCATGAACATAGACACACATAACATGAAGCAACAAGACATGATACAAAGATTAGGCATTAGACACTAGAGAAAGGGGGTAATTTGTGGGCACAAATGAGTAAATCACTCACTTTCTATTGATTGTTATATTATGGCCCAGCTAATATGTCTTGAGTGATCCAATCACTAGAGGACAGCTCAGTTCAAACCTGACATTAGAATTCCACGCCACATGTTAAGTGACCACTTGTGATCAGATCTCACTTGCCTGCTCATGCATGCAAATACACCCATAAATAGCTTCTGTCTGAAAGACCAAATGATGTAGTTCTTACTCAGTGAATAAATGTATTGTGTGCAGCTCTACAATGACATAGGATTATACTATTAAAAATATTTAGAATATTCTATGTTATATCTAACATATTATTTATGTTCATTGTGAACAGTAGTGGTTTAAAGGATGTCAGGTGAGTAAGCAGTCCCTCAATGTGGCCCAGGATACATTTGCATTCATGCTGCTAAAGGAATAAAGCCACGCGCAACTCAGACCATCTCTGAATGTGGTCCAAGTGATCAGATCTCTAATGTGTCCACATTAGGGTGTGGGTGCATTTACACTTAATAACATCAGAGAAGGGTTTTAATGCCATGTCTGAACAAGGCCTTATGTTACAGTAGAACTGAACTTAAAGGTTATTAAAGGGAAAAGTGCTCCAGAGTGTTAATGGCCTCATTATATTCCAAACACCTCTCTGTATAAAGCAAAACAATTCAACAGAACCACAAACCTAAGTTTGAAAATAAAAACCTTCACCAAAGGATGGATTTATTGTTTTACGCAATTAACTTGCAGCTGTCAATATTCAATCTAGTTTAATAAACGTTCTTGTTTCAATGAGGATCTGTTATACTAACCCTCAGGAGGACTCTTGTTCTGGTTATTCCAAACGACCAGCAGCTTTGCCAAGCTAGGTACTTTGGAGATTTCAGTGATTACCCGGAAAAGACTCTCAACGCGATCGTAGGTGAGCACCACTGCTGTGAACCCAGGTGCCCTTGGTGGGATAAGCGGCAAGAACAGAGGACTGTTCACACTGGACCACTTCTACAAAAGGAAGAAAAAACACAAACTGTTTAAGCAACAAACACCATTTTCATTTCAATTATAAGCTAGAGTAGAGCTAGCTTCAGTACCTTAATTTCTATTGTATCAGACATGTTTTCCAAAGCACTATAATGATGTTTCACTGGATAGTGAGATCACCTGCAGTCATTACTAGATGATGGTTTTTATTATGGAGCAAGAATCATCCAATAATGTCTCTCAAGGGGAAATAGAGGCAGAGCAGAGAACGCCAAAAACTTTCTGCCAGAATACCAAGAAAACCCCACAGAAGCAGCAGGACAGAAGGACAAAAAGACGGAGTGGGAGTCTGCAAACAAGACAGGTTGGCTGCACTCATGTATCCACTGCTGTTGTGAAGGTGCAACTCTTCTGGGATGTGGGTGAAAAGGGAAGGGGGGAGAAGAGTGGAGTTTGTCAGATTGTGAATAGTGGCCGTCTATCATGAGTGTGGAACTTGGCTTCTCTTTCACTAATTCCCTTTAAAACGCCCTGTAAATCCTTGGAGCAGCTCGTACTCCAGCTTAGATCAAGCGACGCTGTTAAATGAAGGAAGCCACAGGACAGTTTTCTAATGCTTTGTGTGTGCTGGATACTAAACTTTAAATGTAACAGTCAGTTGGATTAAAGTGACACCTAAAGAGACAACTTAAGAGTCTTTTTGTAACAATATTGTAACAATAACTTTCTTTTTTGTTTACCAAGGTTCTTTTTCTCAGCTTCAAAAAACAAAACAAAACGACCATTCATGTATTTCATTTACAAGCATGTGATCCCTAAGAGTATATACAGGAGCATGAGGCTTCACATGATGGGCTTCAAACACTACAGAAATGTTCAATCAGTCTGAGAGAAGCCAAGAGAGCATATCTAACGCAGTAAATCTGTGGGCTTCTTGAAGTCCACATAAACCCTGCTTCTCCTCTGGTCTCAGGAGGCCACACAGTGATTATGTGGCTCTTTCCACAGCATCAACACGAGAGTGTCAACAGACACACAGACACCGTCTTTTGCACAACATCAGTCACCCTCCTCATATAAAAATCCACTTTACTGGCAAGTGGAAACTTCCTTGTGGCTGTTTTCACATTGTCATTCAAGCGGAGGGGGGAAATAATTAAACTCACACATATAAACAGCACAGATGCATTAAAACAGAATAAAACAGGCAGAGACCACTTAAACTATTTGTCAAACAGTGTGAATGAGATGAAAAGAAAACCACAGCTCAGTATGTCACCAACAGATCTGAGGGAGTTAAGTGTTTATACTTTACATTTACACTTTTATTTGGTTTTTTGAACTGCTTGAGTGTTTCATTAATCTTAGACACTCGAACAAAGGTTAAATGACAAGATAAAATGAACAATTGCCTCATATCTATTTCTCTGTATTAATAATGTAGGCAGATGTAGAGGCACAGTAGTACCAGATTAAATGTAATCTTTCAATTTAATGAATGATACAATAATAGAAACATTATACACAGTACTGTGACTTTTTAGAATTGACTTGGTATTGAAGTATCAGTTCTCGTGACATCCCTGCTTTGAGCAATCTTGATTAGACTCATTGATAACATTTTGCCCCGTTTCATGAACATGCACATCAAGTTTTGTTCAAATCAGATGAAGAGGGGACCCTCAGCTTTATCAAGCCTGAAACCTGCTTGTTGCTGCTCACAGCTTTAATTTTAGGTGATTTTGACTGCTTCTTGCTGATAGAATCTGCAAAGAACTTGTGCAGGAGAAAAGAGTCAAAAACGTACAAACACTTAAAGATTGCAAAAGAACTTTTAAACAACCTAGTGACTAAGTCAGGCTTTCATATGCCCGGGCGCCAATTATCATACAATGTTTTGAAACTATGGCAAATGTGAAAGTCTGAAAACTCCTCAATTCTGAACAAGTTTGCCCTCTACCAACAAATCCCTCACAAAAGCAGCCTGTCCCTTGTTCTGAAACCCCCTCTGAAGGCAGCAGCAATCCCAGGAAATGTGCTTTCAATTACCAGCCCGAAAAACTACAGGAGGAGAGGGGGAAAATGTCTGCCTGATTTATTTAGTGCTTTGTGCAAGTTCTTCTCACCATCCATTCACTGAGGCCATTGAGAAAACACTTCATCTCGCATCTCAGGGAGGAATGGCCAAAGGTATGTAGCCTGCCATAATTAACCTCCTCCTGGTCTGGACAGACCTTAAGACCTAAGTGATACTGATCGATTGGACTGGGCGTTGGACAAAACATTTGACATAAGTGGGTAATGTCAAGTGTAACTGCTGATTAACAAGCTACCTGCTCAGAGGAAAACAGACATGGTCAAAAGAGTGAGCAGCTTCTTGACCGACAACCTCTCAGCCTCTTAATCCTGGATAACTACAGTTCTGAGCAGAACTACAATGATGAACATCAGGAAACACCCTTCAGAGCGCTGCTTGTTTGTGACTGCCACCTTTCTAATCCCAGCATTTCAGTGCATCTGCTTATCCTAGGATACTTATAGACATACTGTGCAGTGTGCACATATGCAAAACACTATTTTAATTCATCATTTTATGCCTCTACTCCATATGGGCTGAGCACAGAGGAGACTCCAGATCAGACCCGGCTGATCAACAACCCCTGAGAGATGGTCGCACAGCCAAGCTGTCTGCAGCCACAACCGCAGGGATGCCAAACACACACACACACCATTCTTCATATCCAGCCTACTCTCTATTAACACAATGACTCAGACATGGAGGAACTTATTTTTCACCACAGTGGAGGCATCCTCCTGGTGCAGAAGTGCTGACACAAACTGCCTCAGAGCTCGCTGGGTGTATACCAATCTATGAAGCTCTGCATGTGTGGCGCTTCAGAAAAAGGGAAGGCATCTACTGTCACTCTGCCACAGAGTCCTTGATTTCGGAAGCTTAATCTGGCCTGTGAACATCTGTATGGTCAAAGCGCCATTGTGGAGGGATGTTGTTCATATGTCTGCAATAAAAACCCATCTAGGAATACAACTGACTGGTTCAGCACAGTAGAGCACAAGCTGTATAGAAGATATATAGCTGTCTGTCGAAAGAGCCTACATAAATAAAAAGATTCTTCTGAGAGACAATGCTGAAAAACCATGATACAGTAATAATAAGATATTCTTAACCAACGGTTAAAACTTTCAAATATTTTCAAACTATACATCAAGCGTAGACAGTTACATACCACCACAGGTGGATTGTTCCACTGCTCATAGGTGCGTGCAGCATATGGGTAGATACGGTCATTGATGATCTGGAGTGTTGTCAAGCCAATAGCCTTCATGGAGCTGAAGTAGGCCTCCCAGAACCAGCGAGCCTGTGGACAAATGGAAAACAAGAATGTCAAAAAAAAGAGCAAAGACAAAACATGATTAAAATTGTTTTTAAATTTAAATTGAACAACACATTTACCAAAATATGTAAACTAAACATAAGGTTTCGATGCATCTTTAAGAGATAGTCACTTTGCAGATACAATACAGGTGTACAAAATTTGTGAATGTGAATAAAAAAAACAAAAAAACTATCATGTATGTGACAGAATTGTAAATTAAAATAGATGAGATGCACTTCCTCCCACTATCTAAAAATGAAGCTTAAGTACTCTGGATACGAATGCTGCCATCTTGAATTTTTTGAGCCAGAGTCTGCGCAATAGCGATCGGTGGGATGGAGCAGCGTTAGTGAGATCCTGCCGGTTCATGCACTTGGCCAATGTTGTCAATCATGGCATTTCACCTTGTTTTTTCAACATCGAATAATCTAAACTACCTTCTTAAAAAAATTAACACTTGAAAAGGAGCTACCTTAAATTATACATCCCATACATTCACATGGAGGAGGATTTAAGACCTCTACTACAGCCAGCCACTAGGTGGTGATAGAAAAAAATTGGGCTTCATTGTTAGGGAGCAGTCATGTCTTCCATTTTATATAGAGGGAAAAAAATCATTTTAAGACCTGCTGCATACAGGTGGACAAAAACCCTTCTATTCTTGCCAGAACTAGGGGCCATCAATGGTCAAATAATACTTAATAATTGGACTTTAATGTATTAAAGGCAATCGCAATGTTCATACAGGCTACAATAATTGACCTTAACTGGAACAAGACAGCATTTCATGAACATGTTATTGGTTATACAACGGTTTTTGTATTTTTATTTCCAATTTTCTCATTTTTTGGCTCTCACACGGCAGAAGATAACACCAGCGTGAAATTATAGCTGTAAAATCCAGACTTCCCGCCCTTATCCACGTCTTTAGAGAGTTTTGCAGCCCTATTCAACATCTCCTGTGAAAACTCTTTTGACTGGGTCTGTTTTGTTTCAACAGATTTCTGATGTGCAAAGCAGACAAAATGATAAGTGAACTCTTGACCCATATCTCAATGTTATCAAATAGGCTGCTGGAATACTCAACTCTAACTGTTCTTTCAGCCAAGGCAACGAGCATGAGAACAGACACCTGTGGATGAGATTGTCTTATGGCGGAAATATAGAGAGGCGATATCAATAGAACAAACCAAAAATTCTACGTATTAAATTCTCTCTCATGAAAGGTTACTTTATTAAACAAGTTACATTGAACTGATCAATCTAGAGTAGTGTGACTGACTGCAATACACGTCAAGCATCCTTCCCCCTGCAGGCCCCTGTACTATCGAGAAACTTCAAGGGACAGTTGAGAGGGGAAAAAACCCTATAAGAGTTAATGAAGCTTTAAACAACACTGACTCCTGCCAGCAGACACCACACTACACTGACTTGACCCCACCCCACCAGCTCCTCAATGGCCCAAAGTAACAAGGCAGAGGATGTGAAGATTTGAGAGTGTGTTTATGGAGTTGGGAGCTGTATTTTTATCCTGTCTTATTATTATTTAAATGCACCAAAATTTATTATTAGCTAATGTGTGTGCTCTTTGTTTAACAAAGACAGTCCTAGGAGGCACGTGAACAACATGTGACAATTCAACAATGTCTGTGAATGTGATGAGGCATTGGAGCTGTACAACAACACAAAAACAGAGCGGGTGAGGAGAATCCAAAAAGACTCTCTAATCTCAAGGGGGAATCCCAACGGCCCATAAATCAGCCTGTGATGAAAGTTTCTTTTCCGTCTGGGGGGAGGCAGAAAGCAAACTGTGCTGGCCTGAGGGCCCGTCCCAGCACCCTCCACCCGCTCCCAACGCCTGCAGGAATTTTTATGACTGACGAAGAAGAGACAGCATTGCAAAGGAGGAAATTGTATCTATAGCCTTGCTGCAAATATTGAGAAATAATAAAAACTATCACATGTCTCTGGTCCAAAATATATTTGTCTGTAAGTCAAACCTTCATTCAATTAAACGCTTGTTTAAAACAGAATTATTTTCTCAATTCTTTCTAGTTTAGAGAAGCTCACCGGCAGCTCTTTTGTTATTAAAAATAATTAACACAAAGATCATTCCAGTTGTCTGTATCACTTTGTTTAACTCAGTGTAAGTTGTCAAGTCCCTGACATAAGATTCAACCCGTAGACCATAGTTGGCAGTCAGTGAGCTGTGGACAGAACCAGGCAATCATTAGTGTTTTCAACCAAATCAAAACCAGCAGTGAAACCAAGTCTGCTTCAATCATAGGAGCTGCTCGCTGGGAATATTGTTTTGCACGAGATTTATTAGCACTTTGCTTCTGACTGTGATCAAAACATTTCCACACATGCAGACATGCACGCACACACACACACACACACACACACA